AAATACGTACCGTTTCTTAGTGATCAGCGTAACATTGCCACCATGTAGCGACCGCTTATAGATGGCCGACTTGGCATCATCGTAGAAGTAGATTTCGCTTTTCAACGAGTCCACGGTGAATATGGCCCCTCCTTTTGGCGACAGAATCGACGGCATTGTCGGGGTGACCTGAAATCAATATCGCTTTGAAGGCGAATTTCGCGCTGATCGTGTGGGCGGAATCAGGTCTGCCACTGTGCACTTGTCACAGAGCCTCCCTCTTTACCGCATTAGAAAGGAGGGTGCACTAATAAGTGATGCGCAGTGATAGGCCTGGCTCCGCCCGTATGATCATCGTGGAATGTTTAGGACCAGTAATATTGAACAGGACCATATCCTACCGCAGTTCCATCTCGTGCTACATGAACTCCATGAATCCACACTGGAGACAGCCTGGAGTACAGCAGTAACTCGTCCACTGTACCATTCGTCGTGCACTTTCCATCCACGAAGATCATTCCGTCCTAAAATTGACAACAATCCGAAGTCCAAAGACACATTCTGCTGCAACACAGTGGGTGGAGACCAGGTCTTAGAGAAAATGTTTTGATCGCTGACTTTTTTCGGTTTCTCCCGGTATAGACCACTCCGTCCCCCTCCCGCCTAGCTCGTAGTTCTACGGGGAAAAGTGAAAATTTGGAGGGCTTTCTTCAGAATTTATTAAGTTCGTATACAGGATGCGGATCTGGAAGGGGGTCGACTTTTGCAAAGTTCTTCTCCAACGGCAGGGCATACCCGGGGAGACTCACAATTGCCCTTGTTTACTGACATGCCCCTCCACTTCATCGTAAGCGAACTAGGGGTGTACCAGGGGTCGTACTTACGAGGATCTGCTTAGTTGCCGCCCATTATGTCATCGCGGAAGGGGCCTTTGAACTGTTCAGAGACTTACAGGACAAAGACATAATGCTGACGTATCTCCGTCCATCACACAAATACCGCTAGAACAGCCACCTCGTCTCGAAGAACAGCCTTTGTCAACTGGAAAATCGATCGATATGTAAAGAATCCATAGAACTGTAATTCAACTTAAGGTGGGGAACGAAGAATGAAGAGGTGTGTGAGGCTAAAAGATCGTACCACGATTTATGTCAAAGAAGGCCATCTTGATGGACAGATCTTGTCTTTGTTTAAAGTTATTTGACCGTAGAGGCGCGGACACCAGCGGGAGTCAAAGTCGCCATCAAGAGGGAATTTATGAGAATCAGAAGTAAAACTTCATAATGGGATCGCCGACATGGAGCTGAAAATTTTTGCGCAAGCCTAAGAAAGGAGGAGTTTCACGAAGAGTTTTCATGGGAGGATTGCGCGTGAAACAATTTTCTGTGCAAAAGAGAAACTTCACATTGCAGTTAGCCCACCTTGCAGAGTGATTGCATGAAATGCCCGGCCCCTCTGACTTGACACGCCCATCATGTCATATGCGCGGGGAAATGGTGTGAAGACGGTTAATGGTATAAGTACTTTCTCGCTGGGTGGTTGTCCCCTTACACATACGGCGACACACAGAAGAAAGCGCACTAGCCGCGAAGAAGGCCCCGCTTGACTTCTCCGCCCATCGTGATTAGCTGTGAACTCGGCCTTTTGTCAAAGCCTGTCGAGCCTCACTATGGATGGAATAACGCCCCGGAAAAAAAAAGGAAAAAAACAGTAGCTGTTAATTCGCCTCGCATAGGTGACCGATACACGGATGATCGGGGTAAAATCGGACCTCACTCGCTTGTGGACGGGCAGGCTATGCACGCCTACATCTACCATTACAATGGCTCAATCCAGGCTAGAGTTCAGAGCCATCTCAGAGAACTTGAATCAGGTTAGGAATCACGTTATCAACTCGGCAAGAGTGGCAAAGGAGAGAGCTGACGCAATTTCTGCCTTTTGCGGGGCATTGTTGTGCCAAACCGTCACTACCGATGCATTCTGAGGGACCTATAGATTCCTATTAAAGCTTGGGCCTTTTTTCTGGCACTTGGACAAGAGTGCGAAGGTCTCGCCAGGGGCTGACGTAATAACTTCGGCTAGGTTCCAAATTGGACTGGCGGTAATTGGCAAGATGCCCTCTAACAAGGGAAAGGATACCAACTCGTCATGGCCATTCAGAATGAGATGTATACCACTAGAAGCGTCTCCGGACGCTGATGTCAGATCTAACTTCCAAATCTGCTAAACGATTCTGGGTGAGAAGTTACGGACCTTTTTTGCTACCGTGCTTAACCATTGCGGTGGGGCCCCCTGCCCATGCTTTGCGCTTGTGAACCTCGTGAACAGCCGTCGCGTGGCTCGATTGGCGCACACGGTAATGTGGGTGGACATAGTTCGTGGAGACGGCACGGTTCGGTCGTCCTTGATGCATTTCCTAGTTTTGCTTTTTCTTCAAACGTATGCTAAACACTTGGGAAGTAGTTTTGCGTACCTGTCCGACCACCAAGACCCCTCCTTGCTCTTTATTGAGCCCCACAAACGATTTTCGTGGAAAATGACACTTTTACCTAACTCGTTCAAGCAGAGGATCAAATATACATGCATACCTGCCCGAAGGCACGTCCGTGAATTGCCACATTTCACCATCTAGCCAGGATGACAACCAATGTGTGGGGCCAACGAGATCGAAATTTCTGGTAGCTCTATTCACCCACGCTCACAACGCCAGCAGCTCTACCCATGCCTACCATAGCTGGAGAAATATTCGACCCAGGGCACATCATTGGTAGGGGACGTCAGCCGGTCTATACGACCCCCCCCCCTTTTTTTGGGCTGTCAAGGGGGGGGGGGTATTTATTACGCATGAAACAGGAAAATCAATCAACAAGTCCACCAGACGCCTCCTACACACCAAAAAGAAATACGACCTCCCATCCCAACAACAAAAACATCAGTAAACCCCCCCTCCCCCCGTCGCAACGTCCATGAAGCGAGAAGAATCAACTATCAAAATCAATCTTCCTATCCCAAATACGACCCCCGCTCTCCTGGCGGCCAAATAAGACCCACCCCTGTTGGAGGATTTGTTCCACAACGATGAGACCCTGTTCCGACCCCACTTGCTGCGTGCTAAATAGACCTATGTGGGAAAGAGTTGGATCTGTTCGATATTGTTCGATCACAATCCCGCAAAGAGAGGAAGATTGCAGATAGCTTCTCTGCTATTTTGCGCGACGCACTGCACGACAATTTTATAATCGACTGCGAGGAAGATAGCTTCGTAGAGGACGACCATACGGATCCCCTCTGGTCACCTGATGATGGCGATGAAGAAAGTTCCTTCAGAGCTAGAAGAACAGCTCCAGTCACTTTTGGGGATGTGGAGGTTCCGATAGAGAAAGTGGTTTGATAGTCTCATTGTCTCACTTATGGACTTCACTTTGTACAACTCCATAGCATAGTATGTGCGTTGTTTAGGTGAGTGAAACCATAGCCTTCTACCGTTCTAGTGCAAAGAAAGAAAAGCTGCTTATATTTCTATGCATGTCAAGAGAGGTTACCGCTTCATTGTAGCCGAATACCCACTTGGCGGATCGAGTATGACGATACGTATCAAAATGAAACTGCTTTCACTGAAGTTGAAATGAAACCCCTCTCAAAAGCTCCCCCTCCGCCAACATAGGGTCTAATACAGACAGCAAGATAGTTGGTCTTGGTGGTCGCGACAGGTACGACAAAACTACTTCCCAAGGCTGCTTAGCATACGTATTGAAGAAAAAGCAAACTTGAGGAAACGCAATTTCAAGGATCCGGTAATTCCGTCCTACACTATGCAGCCTAATCCACTTAACTGTCGCCGCCATCGAGCCACGGCTTACAGTTGTGTCACGGCGGAGTTCACAAGCGCCAAAGCAATGGGCAGGGGCGGTGGGCCACCGCAAATGGTTAAGGCACGGGGCCACAAGCAAGGTCGATCTTCCTCGCCCGAATCTGTTTAGCCAGGGATTTTGCGAAGTGCAGGATTTGACATCAGCTGTCCGCAGACGCTATCTAGTGGGATACATCTCATTTGCTGAATGGCCATGACGACACGTTCGGTATCCTTCCCTTGTAAGCGAACAGCACGAAAACTTCTTATGCGTTGCATGATAAAAATTTCGCGAAAGTTAAAGGTATATGAGTAGAGGGCGGATGTTATAGCAAAATAAAGAATATCGAGAATAGAGTAAGTTTGCTGAGCTTCAGGAAGCAGTCGAAGAGGAAGGCGAGGTGAGCGTGGTTTCCACCGAACTTCTGGGCGTGGCTTCCCACGCCAGAAAGCATGGAAGTCCTTTCTGTCACCTCAGCTAGAAAGTAGAACTTCATTCTTACTCCAGATTGAGACTAAATGTAAAATTGTAATCATGTGGTGGAATAATCAGCACTAAGAAAAGCAGTAAGAAAAGCAAAAGCAGTAAGAAAGTGATAACCTGAAAACAGTTCTTAAAAAAAGGGAATGAAAGAAAAGAGGGAATTCTAGAAAACGACAGTAACCTTTCTTCGTGGTCAAATTGTGATTGATAAAGAATCCATCAACCGGTAGGTGGAAATCGACAACGTCAACTTCCGATGTGATAGTATCCACCCGCAATAAATCGGCTCGACTCGGTACATAAAGATAGTCGGCAAAATATGTCAAAGAAGTTGCATATTTTATCTAAAAATAACTTCATTCGGCTTAAACGGAATTAAAATCAAGACAAACACGTTTGCTCAGTTCGCTAGACAAGCATGAGTTCCGAAGACCACCGACGCGTGTGGTCGCGGTGCGGCTACTTAGCGATGATGGAACCGAGCCGTTTTCTCGCATTATACAACGATAAACGAAAAGAACACAGGCACAAGTAGTCTTGGCTATATTGACTGTGCTCAAGTGGAACAGGTAGCCGAACAGGCCGCTTCGCGACCGCACGCGGCAGTGAACTGCATGCTGCCTGAGGCACTAGTAGTTTACATTTACTAGCAAATGTGACAGCAAAAAAAGCCCACCTTAACACAAAAAGAACCTAAAGGGCTTGTAAAGAGCTTGAGAACCGCAAAAATAAAAAAAAATTCGAGCAAACTTAAAAAGGACCTAATAACAATAATTTCAATAAGCAGTAGCAAATACATTAATAGCTAGTGGATTAATTACAGTAGCCTAATTTATCCATAATGAAAAGTATGTATTATGGAAGTATGTGTCATCATAACTTAGCAAAAAGTAAGGCGCTGTTAGGTTTGGTGGGGGCACTGAACGGTACTTAGCTAAGTTTTTACACGCTACCTTGTGAAGTCCTGTAGAGTCCTGCTTACCAAACGACTCATTCAAACCATTCCCTCACAGGAGCTCACAGGTTATTCAACACGAAC